AGATTTTGAAATTAATTTCTTCTGTTTCTTTTCACTTTGAAAAAATGTAGCTACTAGGATATTTTACATCACATAGTAGTTCAAATTCTATTTCTATCGGACAATGCTGAACTAGAGTATTACCTTTGTGGAAAACTTAACATCTGTGTTTAAGTTTGTGTGGTAGTAGGATCCAGAGAAATGTGGCAGAGATAGTTTCATGCAAATTATACTTGCATGAGGGCAGAGATTTCTGTCTGTCTTACTTGTATCCATTTCCATGTTCCCAACTTCAAGAACATTGCCTGGCACATGGTTGATGAAATAATATTTGTTGAAGATATAACATTTTCTTAAACCAATGGACTCTTCCTTAAAAATTTTTTTTAATAGTTAATTGTTACTGGCTTTTATGAGGCTTTGCTATTTATCATGTTCTTCAATGGTTTTATAGTTATCCTATTCTTGATTACTTTTGTAATTTGTCTTTTAAAATTAATTAACAATTATGCAGCCAGCATTGTGCTGAGGGACTGTAAAGAAATAGGCCTTGGTTCTTGCCCTTCAACAAAAGATTTTACAGTCTAGTTAGGGAGACAAGACTAATATACTTGAAACAACTACAACATTGAAACTTCTGATTCTATAAAATGGAGAACAATTACATGCTGAGGTGCACAGGACTGCCAAAGAAATTGGGGTTCAGAGAAGAGGAAGATCTGCTGTCATGGTTGGGAGAAGCTTCACTTCAGATATGGGTTTGCCCTGGTGTATCTGATTGGTCCTACTGGAGGGGTATTCCTCCAGACTCCTCCATGCCCAGTGCATGAGGCCTGCCCCTCCTCACCCCTGCCCTTCCTTCCTAGGGTGTTCAGTGAGCGTCTCTCAACTCTATGCTACTCAGTGAAGTGTGGTTAGTGTAAGTAGTGTTCTCATGCTGTAACTCCTGAATTATCTCTAGGGTCTTCTACATTACTGGAAGAACTTGAGTCCAATCTTCTCATTGTTATTTCTCAGGGTCCTACCATGTTTTTTCCTCCATGTCTTTAATATGTTGCATGATCCCCCACTCCAAAGCCATGTTGCTGTGACCCTCATGGCTATCCTTTCTTCACCTCACTGGTCAGATCAGGTAGCAGCAGCCCCATGAAAACCATCAGTGGAAACCTCCCTCTACCCCTGAAAACTCTTACCAGCACAATGCTGCTAAGCCAGTAGATGCTCCCTGCCCCCAGCCAATGCTCCTTCAAGTGTGCTCCATCACACTCCTGACCTGCATTGAAGCTCAGTGCTTGCAACCAGGCATGGGATGCCGGCATCCTGGCGACTGCTCCTGTTGTCACAAAGAGAAGCAGCTTGGTTCATGCAGAGAGAATTCCACTTACAGTGGGGTATACCCAGGTCAGGACCTTAGCAACATCACAGACCCTTGTGCAGAACTTTCCTCAGCTGTAAAAATCAAGACAGAGCCCTTGTCTCAGAGCTGCTGTCCAGATGAGATGAACTACTGTGTGTAAGAGATTCCAACACAGAGCCTGGTGTTGGTTCTTTAATGGAAAATCCTATTGCCACTCAACTGACCTGTCCCCACAGGCCAGCAATTCAAAACCAGCGTTGATTTTCCCTCTCCCACCACACTCCTACCCCAGGATATTTGATAATGTCTGGAGGAACTTTTGGATGTCACAACTTGGGTGAGGGTGTAACTGGCATTGAGGAGGTAGAGGCCAGGGAAGCGACTATGCCTCCTACAATGCAGGGGGTGACCTCCACACGAAACAATTCCTCAGCCCAAGACATCAGTAGTGCTGAGGTTGAGAAACCCACAACTGCCAGTTGCTTCTGTAGTGTCTCAGGTAATTCTGTCCACTGGGGCCGCTACTCCTGCGTCCTTCAAGTGTCTGCCACTGCTCCCAAACACTTAAAGTCAATCCAGGAACCAAATTGCCACCCCTGCTTTCCAGAGAACTCCCCACTGCTATCTGGGACCTCTGCTAGCATGTTAGAGCTGACAGAGACAATAATCCCAGTGTACTAGCCTCTGGGCCCATACTAAGTGCACCAGGCCCTTAATTCTTATTGCTCTGTGGATCCCATGAAGTAAACATTGCTGTACTGCTTTTCCTTTTAGGAAATCAGACCAGACTTCTCCCAGAACAGGGCATGAGAGACTTGTGCGAGGACTCTGCTGGGACCTTCCTATTCTACGAGGTGCAGGAGGACAAATCCTCAGACCCCAGCCAGGATCTTTGCCTCCGTTAATACTATCAAGATGAGAATCACTCCTTTTAGGTGAGCCAGTCAGCCCAAAGATAAGGACCCAGAAGCACGCAGCATCCCTGGGAGCTGGCTCTTGCTTCTCTCCACACCTGTAGTCCTGCTGTGACCCTGTCTTAGAATATTTTGCCTCATCCAACCTGGTGTACATTACTCTTGCTCACCACTTCCCAGACTGAAAGACACAGGCAACTGGACACAGTGAGCTTCCTGATGGGATATAACGTGAAGTACAGAGACCACAGATGAAACAGGCAGATCACAGCAGTACAGAGAAGGCAGAAGTACATGGTGTTCGTGCCAAATATAGTTAACCTGAATCTAAATTAGCCTCTAAACCTACCTTCCAGGTGACAGGAGATACTGGAGGAACAAGTTAAACAGGATTACAAAGAAACAGTCATACCAATCCCGTATTTAGATTATTCTACTAAACAAAACACTTTCAAAAGGGATATTCTAGATTAAAAGAGGCTTAAGAGAAATAACAACCAAATGCCATGTGTGGTTCTTTATAGGACCCTTATTTGAATAAACCAGTTATAAAAGACATTTGAGGAAATCTGAATATAGACTGGCATTAAATGCTCTTGAGAAATGACTGTTACATTTTTAAGGTATAATAATGAAATTATTAACATGTATGAGAACATCCTTACTGTTTAGAGGTGACAAAAGTGTCATGATGTGTGTAATTTTTTAAAATGGTTCAACCCCCCTCCCCCATATACATAAGGATAAAGCAAATATGGCAAAGTCTAGCAATTATTGAACCAAATGTAGGTGGTTGATACTTGTCGTCTGATTGTATTATTCTTTCTACTCTTCTGCTCTTTTGAATAATGCAAAGTGAAAGAAGAGACTACTGAAAACTACCCGACTGTACAGATGAGGTCTGCCTCTCCCTTACACGTATTTCCAAACTCCTGCATTCCCTAGGCAATCATCGTCAGACGCACGTTTCCGATTCTGGAGCAGCTCGCGTAAACAGTGACCTTGTAAAGGGTTTTAAAGATGTAGAAAGGAGAAAACGAGCGCGGGCTGCAACCTCCGAATCAATTGTAATCAGTTTAAACCCTCTAATATGCACAAATACAGTAGGATTACAAGTCTGCTCAACAAGGAGTTCTCTAATGCAGTGTTAGCAGGAGCACAGCGGGAATTACATTATCATCGGTAGTGCACTATTTAAGCGGCAGTACCCGCTGCAGCCCTCTCTGTGGCTTTCCAGTACTGTTTCCTCTGCTGGGAGTGCCCTTCCTGCTTCTTACAGTGAACAATTGCCTTTTTTATTTTTTTTTTTAGAGAGAGAGAGAGCTCGAGAGAGCTCAGCATCTGAACTTCTTTTCTATGTTTAGGAAAATCACCAACTTATGAATCTTTGCTTTCCTCCAGTATAAAGGCTGAAAGTGCCAGTGTGGGGAATTAAAGACAGCTGCGGAAAAGAAATGTTTTGCCACTCTTTACATCTGAGATGGGGTTTGTCTTGCTCTTCTTTGAGTGCATGCTAGCCGGTGGCTTGATTTGCCCAATAGGATGGGTGAAAGTGGTGCTGTGTACCTTTTCAGGCTGAGCATTAAGAGATCTGGAGCTTCTCCCTTTGCTGCTTAAAACGCTCCCTCTTGGAAGAGAGACACCATGTGAAAGGTACAGCTTCCCCGAGGGCACCACACTGTGGGCAGCCCAGTCATGTGATGAGGCCAATGGAGGACAACCGGCCTGCTCGAGTTCCATCTCTTTCTTAGTCTCATTCCCCCCTCAACCAAGTCATGCTCCACCAGTCAACCCTGGCTGATTAAGTAGAAAAGAAATTTATTGAAATGATACTAAGTAGCTCACAGAAGAATATTAGGTAGCTGGCTGAGCTCCCAGCCCACAGCCAGCCGTATGAGTGAGCCAGATGAGCCTTCAGAGGATTTTAGACTCAGCAGACACCACTTGGAGCAGGACTGTCCAGTTGAGCTCAGTCAACCTATAGAAGCTGGAGATATAATAATGGTTGTTGATTGTAAGCCACTCAGCTTTGAGGGTGGTAGTTATCCAACAAAGAAAGCTAGGCAGATACTTTCCTAGCTTCTTTTGCAGCGAGGTGTAGCATGTGCCCTAGGCCTTGCTAAGCAGATGCCTCTCCCAAGACTTTGAATTAGGAACTAATGACACACAGAAAAACAAGAACAACAGAGAACTTTCCCGATAGTGAGGCAGCAGGAACTAGTTGCTGTTTAATGTTCAGGGCCAGTGGCACTGACTATATACCATGGCATGATTATCTCTGGCATGATTTTGGGAGATGTTTCTGGCTGTGTGGACTCTGAACCTGGTTCTTGAGTCATCCAGGAAATTCTGAGCTATCTAATATAATTTAAATAAATTTCTTTTCTAGTTAATCAATGAATGCCAATTTCTGTTGCTCATGAATAAGAACTCTGATACATACATACTCCTCAAACTAGCTGGCTTTGGTTTTTTTTTCCTTAAGATAAAATTCAAAGCTTAAGAAAAATTCCTCCTGGAAACCTTCACAGACGTCTTCTCAGTATTTTATCCCTCCCCCCATTTTTTTTCTCCTCTTTTAAGCCCCTGAAGTGCCTTGTGTGTATGTATAATAATGCTCTTATCATATCCATTGTAATTTTCAATTTCATAAACTATCTCTAGTGTCTAGTATAGTGTTTATAAGATGAATGTAATAGAATAAATGAAATTTAGTATATTTATAACAGTTCTGGACACAAATAGACATCATTTCAAAAAAAATTTTTTTTACCACTCATAGAATTGTCAAAATAGAGCAAATTTTAGAGTCTTGCTTTTATAAAAATACTACTGTAAATTCTTTGGATATTACTGATAATCATAATCTTAATGGATTCCTTCTCAACCTAGTAACTGTTTCCCTTTTATGCACTGCCAGAGAAATTTCCATTTTTATTCCGATGATTACTTTTATTCTTTTTGATATCCAAAAAGAATGTTGAAATGGAAATGTTGAAAGTGTGGGTTTAAAAATACATTTACTGATATTCCCTAGAGTATTTAAATATTTGAAAGGAGGAGCTGTATAAGAAAAATCATTTTAGAAGGAAAGAGATGATAAATACATATCATAGAGCTTCTAGTCTCATGTTTAGTGAAGTCGTGGCAAACACATTCTTCTCATTTGAGTTAAAGGTGAGTACAACTATCTGTATGGTCAAAATCCAGCTATGATGAAGGACTCTCCCATTGCACCGGGGTCTCCAGGCGTGGGCAGTGGCAACTGTGTCATTCAAAGTTCCACAGGTGAGAGTAAAGTGCACCAAGAGTCGAGACCTGTTAAGACAAGGGACCATTTGTTTTCTTTTGGCTATCAGCTTATTAAGCCCTAACAACATTAACACATTGCGGACCAGTAGTTTTATTGCTAGCTTTACCCAGTGGCCAGATAAGTTTCTATTGAACGAGTACAAAAAACGTTTTACATAAATGTTAAAGGCAAGCTTTAAAACTAAATACCCATTGCATTTTGAAGTTATTTATTACATGTTCTTACAAGCTAATATCTTTTTAAAGTATGAAACTTGTAAAACACTGTGTAATATGAAGTGGAACTAAACAAAGCTGGCAAATTCTCGTTATCCATCCGCAATATGTTAAGTAGTGTCTCAAGGCTCAATCTCAGGTGCTGAGGGGGTATACAGATGAATAAGATACTCCCTGACCTCCAGGAGTTTACAAATTGGTATTAGGTCCATACAAAGATTTTGCATGTCTTATATACTTTTCTATATGTTTTATAATCTCATAAGATAATTGCTAAAAAAATAACAGTCTCTACCTCAAGGATCTATGTGAGATCTAGGTGAGATGCTGCAAATAAAGTATTAAATACAGGGCTCAGGACATAAGTTCCAGCAAATGTCAGCTGTGACTGATGTGGTGATTCTATGGGTGTTGTATACCTACCGACTAACAGGCGGAACCAATCTCTTCCTGCCATATCAGCGGCGTGGAGTTTAAGATGGACAACTGGCCAAAACCGGTTTGGCTCAGTGGATAGAGCATCGGCCTGCGGACTGAAAGGTCCCAGGTTCGATTCCGGTCAAGGGCATGTACCTGGGTTGCGGGCACATCCCCAGTGGGAGATGTGCAGGAGGCAGCTGATCGATGTTTCTCTCTCATCGATGTTTCTGGCTCTCTATCTCTCTCCTTTCCTCTCTGTAAAAAATCAATAAAATATATTTAAAAAAAAAAAAAAAAAAAAAAAGATGGACAACTGATGCCAAGAAGAGGATGGCATACCTTGAATACTGTGGCTCATCTCAGGACTCCCGAGCATGGGTTCGAGTGGATCAGAGTTCTAGGTTTCCCAAGGTTCTTCCTTCCCTGTTGTTCAAAGCAGTTTCTGGAGTAGGGTGAAGCAGGGTTGAATCTTGGGTTACACTCAGGTATAAAAGAGAAACTATAAAATCCGTGCATTAAGGAATTAGGGTTTTTGGTGCGTGGCCCTTGGGAGCTTTTGTGAGCCCGCCATGGTGCTTTTATCCTTCCACAAGTATAATACACATATGACACTCAAGTGTTTACTAAATGAGTGAGCACACAAGTCTCAAACACATCACCTGTGTTAAGTCTGTTACCTCCCACAAAATATGTCCATCCCGACCAACTGACTTACCAAAGCGCCTGCTAAGAGAATGCGAGTTAATCATCTTTGTAGCATCCAACCTGGAGAAGTGTGACTAAAGCTCACTCTTGCCAGCCCCATCACAGGTCAGCCATCTGGATCTGCAGTCACACAGCCACATAGACCACCACTCTCTGGTGGGGCGTTTCTCAAGACTCCCTTTGTTGACCGTGGTCTGTGAGCCACTTCTGGATATGCTGGCCACCTTGCCATCTGTCGCTTTTTTTTTTTGCCACTCCAGCCTCGTTCACATTCAATCTTGAAACTGTTTCCAGAGTGACCTACCTGTATTACAAGTATAATTGTGTCATTTATTACTCAAAACACTTCACTCGTTTTTCCCAGCCTGCCTGAATGATAAAAGCCAGAACTATTTTGCTTAGTAAATAAGATCTTTCATAATCTGTACTACAGCTTCTTGTTTTGCTACTTCTTTATATGCACTCAGCTACCTGGAGCTCCCTAAACATTTTTCAAGCACACCTGCATTTTCCCCACTTGATTCCCTCCGCCTAGAACACCCTGCCCTTCTCTAACCGGTTAATGACTCTGAGCCCTTTAAGACTTACTTAGACGTCAACTTCTTTGAGAAGATGTTGACTCACCCCTCTGAAAATGCCCTTTTTCTATGCCCCACAGCCCTCTGGGTGACACTTATCACATGGCACAGGAATAGTTAAGGTCCTTGAGAACCAATTAGGTAGGATTAGGGAATATGAGTTATTGAGATTAACACAATCAAAATTAACCACACCTGCTCGTAAGGTCCAGGGAACATTTAGTTTATGCCAGTGCTGCTCACACTTTAATGTCACCCAAGTTCTTGTTAAAATGCAGAATCTCACTCAGTAGGTCTGGGATGGGACCTAAGATTCTGCCTTTCTAACAAGCAGCCAGGTGGTGCCAGTGGTGCGTGTGAGAGGTGCACACTTTGAGTACCAAGAGGTTTAAACTATGTAAAGGGCACCCTCTTACCTGCTGGGAATTCTAAGAAATCTAACACATCATCACTCCTGTTGGGGAGATAGAATATACACATAAAAAGACAAACAAGGGTCAGCTAATACCATAAACTTCTACTTTTCTTAAGGTGCAAAGAGTCATTATCATTGACTTAGTATTATCTGTTATCTTTCTATAGGTTAGGTTAACATACCCTAAAGCATCAAACCATGCATATCCAGAGACATTTGAGACCACACATATCCACAGAATGGTGGATATATTCTATAATTATTTTTTCTTTAATAAGTAAATTATTCATTTAAATGTTTCAGAGTTCATTATGAAGACAGAAAATATATATGCCAATAACTCCCATGAACCATTCCAGCATCTGTGCCCAAGGTATAAGGATCAGACTATCCATTACAGCCCTATTTATTACAGCAGAAGGGTGGAAGCAATCTAACTGTTCACCTGTAGGAGAGTGGGTAAATAAAATGTGGCTATTCCCACTTAACACGATTGAAAAAGTAAGTTGTTAAAGGATAGATATAGCATGAAATTGTCCATGTAAATTTAAACATAACACAGTATGTAGGCTATCTATACTAATGATAGAGGAATATGCAAATTGGCTGGGACGCTGTCACATAATGACCAATCAGGATGGGGGCGGGACTTCGGCAGAAAGCTCTCAGCACGCCTGTGCCGGGAGTCCGAAGGGTGCAGAGAGGAAGGGAGAGCAGATAGGCAGTTAGGGGGATCAGGCCAGGAGGGGAGAGCAGATAGGGGGATCAGGCCAGGAAGGGGGAGCAGATAGGCAGTTAGGGGGATCAGGCCAGGAGGGGAGAGCAGATAGGCAGTTAGGGGGATCAGGTCAGGAGGGAGGAGCAGATAGGCAGTTAAGGGAATCAGGCCAGGAGGGGAGCACAGATAGGCAGTTAGGGGGATCAGGCCAGGAGGGGGGGAGCAGTTAGGCAGTTAGGGGGATCAGGCCAGGAGGGAGGAGCAGATAGGCAGTTAGGGGGATCAGGCCAGGAGGGGAGAGCAGTTAGGGGGATCAGGCCAGCAGGGGGGAGCAGTTAGGCAGTTAGGGGGATCAGGCCAGGAGGGGAGAGCAGATAGGGGGATCAGGCCAGCATGGGAGAGCAGATAGGCAGTTAGGGGGATCAGGCCAGGAGGGGAGAGCAGATAGGCAGTTAGGGGGATCAGGTCAGGAGGGAGGAGCAGATAGGCAGTTAAGGGAATCAGGCCAGGAGGGGAGCACAGATAGGCAGTTAGGGGGATCAGGCCAGGAGGGGGGGAGCAGTTAGGCAGTTAGGGGGATCAGGCCAGGAGGGAGGAGCAGATAGGCAGTTAGGGGGATCAGGCCAGGAGGGGAGAGCAGTTAGGGGGATCAGGCCAGCAGGGGGGAGCAGTTAGGCAGTTAGGGGGATCAGGCCAGGAGGGGAGAGCAGTTAGGGGGATCAGGCCAGCATGGGAGAGCAGTTAGGGCCATCAGGCTGGCAGGGGAGCAGTTAGGGGCATCATCAGGTAGGCAGGCAGGTGAGCAGTTAGGAGCCAGTGGTTCCAGATTGCAAGAGGGATCCCGGATTGGAGAGGGTGCAGGCTGGGCTGAGGGACCTCCCTCCCCTGGTATAGGCAAACTTTAGGGCAATGGAATTAGCTCTCTGGAAAGGGAGGTGTGGGTTGGGAGGTTGGGCTGATCTTTGGGAAGGGAGATCAGAGAAAGGGTTGGAAAGGGAAGCCTTAGTTTTTTCCTGCCATATTTTATGTTTTAAAAAGAGAGAAATATTTATAGTAAGTAAAGCATAGTGTTAACATCTGCATAATCTCAAAGTTGGGTAGCGCCTGCGATAAGGAATCAAAGACCCTCACGCCATACACATTGAAAGTTAAAATTAAGAGGTCCTTAATGTTCTACTGATGCTTGTTCTTCAGAACAAATATAGTGACTCCTTTGTTTTCACATGTATATTTTTATTTTGTACTTTCACATAAGTGTTTGAAATTTATTAATAGGAAAGTCATGGGTCCCAGACCATCCACCAATGCTGAGTATGAGTGGCTTTGATTCCACCACATCTGGATCTACTTCTACAAATATATAGGAAAAGGTAACTATCCCAATATAGTATGAACAAAGAATATTCAGTAATTCACAGAAGAAGAAAATGCCAATGACCAATAACCATAAAAGGATTCCCAATTTTGCTGGTCATCAGAAAAAAATATTAGAACCACAGTAAGACATAATTTAAGACATGTTTGTTTGCCAAATTGAAAAAAAAAATACTAACAGCACTGAATGTTGAGAAAAATGTGTAGCAACAGGAACTCTTATTTTCTTGCTAGTAGGAATCCATTCTGGAGAACAATTGGCCAATACCTAAAAAACAAATGCACATACCCAATGAACCAGCTGCAACTCTAACTCAGAAGTACATCTCACAGAAACCCTTGCAAGCCAGCATTATGAGACATGAATGTGAATGTTGATGGCACCATTGTTTGTAATAGCAAAAATTTGGAAACAACTTACGTCAGCATCCAAGAGAATGGATAAATAAATTATTGTACAGTTATGTAGTATAAAACCGTTAAAATTAATGACCTATATAGAGCTACATATATAAACAGTATATGTTTCTTAACGGTAACGTTGAGTTAAAAAAAAAAAGTTGCCAAAGGATACGTACAATATGATACAGAGTGGGGCAAAAGTAGATTTGCAGTTGTGAGTTCATGAAACAGATTATTCTTGTATTATTTTCCAAATGAACAACCATCAACCTACTTTTGCCCCACCCTGTATTCTATATGTATAATATATGGAAACCTTACAATATCATTTATCATTTAGGGATACTTAGCATATGTAATAAAAGCATGAAGACATACCTGGAAGTGACAAACATCAAATTGCCAGAGGCACCTGAAGCTCTGACCAATGGCAGAAATTGCTGAGATGACGTGTTCTCATGCAGGGACGTCAGCAACTGCCATCGCTCCGGCCAGGCAGAGCCAGTCATCAAAGCTGACCCCACCATTAAAAGGAGCTTTCTTGTGTGAGGGGACAGCTTGAGTCTCTGCTGGGAGGACACAGCAGCAGGGAATCAGGATATATATAGATTGAGGCATCTTAAAAGCAGTCTTTTTGCCTCTATTATTTAAAAAAATAATTTTTATGGTTACAAATTTAAAAAATTATTGTAAACATTTCAATAATTCAGTGAATACTATATTTAAAAATTAAACAAACAAACAAACAAAAACCCCCAGAAGAATATTTTCCATTAAGAAGGGAATCCGTTTTTATTAAATGGGACCTATGAAACAAATCACTGGATCTAAGATATTTTGTTTATCCAGTGCTGTGTTTTAAACGCCATGCTCTTTGGTGATAAGGAAGCTGAAAAGGCCTCATGAACTAAACAACAAGCTGTTGTGAGCAGACGACTGGAGTAGTAATGAAGGTCTCAAATGAGAATGAATTTGTCTGTGCACTGATATCCATCAAGGTACAGATTTTCTCATTAATCACCAAGGGATAAAACCATTGTTGTCAAAAGGCTTTTCTACAGAGCCTTATCCGTATCAAATGTAAACCTGTTCCCTTTATATGGACATAAAGACTCACGATAAAGGCTTAGGCGGTCCTGGAAGATAATGAAACAATTGTGGGAGATGATGTTGATTCACAAACTGCCTATTATTAATCACATGGAGATGTGTACATGAACTTCCATTAAATTCAAAGCATTTTGTCTTCTTTCTCTCCTTCCTCTGAGTTTTTGTTTAAGACCACACAGTGAGATTTCTGGTGTTTGAAGCAGCAAACACCAGCTCTGTTATCTTCATTCTGCAGTGGTTTAAAAATAAATAAATAAACAAACAAACAGATATTCTTCTGACAATTTATAAACCTAAAACTCACCGAGGAGCTTTGTTTTTCCAGGGTGTGAAAAACAAATATATATATATTATGAGTTCAGGAACTGGCTCTAGTGAGTGGCTATCACACCACAGTCCTATATGACTTGAAGAATAGCTGGCAGGACATCCCCCAAGTAGTATCTCTCCTTATGGCATCTCTCTTGTTTTTTCCTTTCTCCTGTCCATCCTTCTCCCAGACCTGCCTCCTCCTAACCTCTCTTAGCTGGAACTGGCTCTGATTTGCCACCTCTGGATTCACAGTGTGTGTATATTCAATCCAACCCAACAAGATGAGTCTTGGGCCTTAGCCAAACAGACCACCTGTTGTTCTTCAAACATGCCCTTGGGGTCTTAAGACATCTATAAATTTTTTGTATTGTTTTATCTAATGAAGATGAAATCATCTGATTCAGATATAGTTTTGGGAAAATTACTTTTTAGAAATATTCAACAATATGGACATTTTCACCTATTAATTCACACAGTACTTCCCCCTTCTTTTGTATGGCTGCATAGTACTCCATAATGTGCCCAAAATAATTTTTAAAAATCAATTCCCATGTTGATTAACATTCAGGCATCTCTCTTGTGCTTTGTGATGATTTCTTGATGGATTTGTCTGGAGAGTGGGATAGGAAGTGGAAGGAAAGAAGGGTATTACGTTATGTCAAAGGGTTGCCAGCATGGTTTTGGATGTGATGATAACTCCAGCTCCTTCAGTCATCTCTTATTTGGGGAGATGGTCATTTCCTAATAGCACATTTTGCAAACAGCAAAGTAACTCTAATAATTACAGTCCTATATAATACGATATGATCTATACATACTAATTTACACATATGACTGCAATCCAGGACGTAACTGGATGCTTTGGAAAGGGTGTGAGCATGAAGGAGGGACAAAGTGGAGAAGACAGCAGAGGAGATGGGACAAGGCCTGGACTGGTGGGCAGCCCTTGTTCCTCTCACCATCCCTCTCCTTTTTAGGCAGCCAGTGATTTCTGTCAATTACCAACATGGTGTTAGACCTAACATTAGCCCATTTTTTCCCAATCTCCTGCATTAACAACTGGCTCTTCTCTGCCTTAGTTTGGGAAGGCAGGCTAAGACCCATTGATGAGGGTCTTTAATTCCTCACCGAGGGGGTCTACAGCTATAGGGAGGCTGTAAGTGGACTGTGCTTGAGTTGAGACTTCAGGTGTCAGCACAAAAGTTTGCTTTGCAATTACTCAAGTGTTCTTAGGAGATAAACAGCACAATTAAAGAACAGCCAACCTTGGGACAGAACACAATATATCACCTGTTTGGTTGTGCTTCAACTCAGTAGGTTACCTTTATCACCCAGGAGTGGCCTCCTTCCTTTAACTCGACTCCATAGTCTTTGTACTCGTTAACTGTCCCCACAGCATCCCCGTCCTTATAGCCCTGCTGGCTCTCTCTCTCTCTCTCTCTCTCTCTCTCTCTCTCTCTCTCCCTCTCCCTCTCCCTCTCTCATCATGGGTGGATTCATCATGCACACTTGCAGCATCAAGCATAACTTCTAGAGATAAAGACAGCTAATCCCTAATCCTGACTTTTTCTAAAGCATTTTACCTTTTACCTTATCGTTACTTTTTTCTTCTTCATGGAATTGCTCCTTCAGTCATCACTTATTTGGGGAGATGGTCATTTCCTACACAGCACATTCTACAAAAAGCAAAGTAACTAATAATTATAGCCATATGTAATATGATATCATCTGTGTGTACTAAATTACACACCTGGCTGCAATCTCACCCAAATAGCAAAATGCTACAAATTCTCAATTCCGTGACATATATTTGAGTGTCTGAACTTGACTCAGCCTCCATGCAGGGCTTTCGTTCCCTTTCCTTCTATTGTTGCTCACTTTCTGGTCAAAGCATGGCTGTGCTTCCCAAACGTCCTCCAGCCTCCACTCCACTCTCTGGTTCCCCTTTGGGCAACTTGCCACAGGGTTTCTGTTGGACCTGGGCTTCCCAGGTTGAGTTACTCAGTCTTTGTTCCCAGGACCAAGTGAGGGCACGTTTCCTCACTGGTTCCCGCAGGCTGCCAATTTGCCCAGAGCTCGAGCCCCTGGAGAAGCCCTTCAGGGACTTGAAGAAGATGCCATCAACTTTCGGTACCTTGCTTCTGGCATCAGTCTCTTTCATCACTCCCCCTGCCAACCCTTTCCTACCCCTCTCTGGAGAACTGTCTCCTTTCCTACCAGGGATTTCAGCCTTCCTTTCTACAGGAAATGCTTTTCTCAGTCTCTCCACAAAGCCCCCGGGGGAAAGGAACTGGCCTTTCATTCACAATTGGCCACAGCCTGTACGGGAGGCAGCGAGAGTAGGAGTAAATGTGCTCCAGAGTTGACATAAATGCAGCTTCCAATAAAAACCAGATGCTGCTGTCACTAGAATGGGTAGAAAGCTTATTTTGTTTGGAATGATCAATGATGGGATTACCGGAAAGTCAATGTGTCAAGGAGAGACAGAACATCTACTGGATGAGGAAATGAAGATGGATTTATTGTATTCATGGTGTGTATGAATGGGTACGTGTATGTGTGATTTCCTTCTTTTGTAAAGGAGCTGGTTTCTGAAAGTGAGAGGGCCAGTCTCCAAGGGGATAATTAGGATTTTTCACAGTTTACCGTGGGTGGAAAATTTCACTCTCTCAAGATTGAGAAGTGCATGCTAATAGTTACCCCAGCCATTCGTTGTCCTGCCAAAGATTTCTATCGGATGTCGACATTCAGATGGATGTCCTAACAAGCACTGTAATCAGCAGAGAACTGTAAAGACTTTTCTGGAGGAAATCAATCTGTACCCAATGCATTATCCAGACATGTTTGTTTTCAGATTCATAAGTCATTTTGTTGTCAGAGCAGCCTTTTTTTTTTCTTCCTCTTTACTTTCTATTGAATTATTCTAGGCAGCTGTTCCAAATACTTTTCACTCTTCTCAAAGAACTTCTGACCTTCCCCATATACCCCCAGATGATCTGCACAACTAATTTACTGAGAAGGTCAAGGCCTCAGCTCTCCTCTCCACTGTCCCAATTTTTCTGCACCATCATCCATCCTTTACTTTTTCCTTCATTCTTTCTACCTCTTTCCAGAGAAGCCACATCCTATTTTTGTTTTCAAAGTTAACCTTTTCTGGGGATCTTGATTCTGTCAGTTCTCCATCTCCACCTCCATCTCCCACTTTCTGGCATCTTCAAGTTCATGTTGTCTTCCAGGTCCATTTCTAGCTCTTTAAAAACATACCCTAATGTCTTGACTGCAAAAATCTATACCATGACAAAACTTTCCTATCAGATTGCTAACCGATCTGTTTGGAAAGTGTAGGCTATAGTAAATTTATGTGGAATCACAATTTTTATTAAAACTGGCCTCTTAAAACTCATCAATGAACTGCTTAGACATCACTTCCAATGACCTCATCTTGCTGATTTCTGTAACCTTTGACACTCCTGACTGTGGGCCGTGCTTAGAAAAGGAGGACAGTGGGAACTGGAGAGTGAGAAGGAGGTAAACAATAGTCCAGAAGGGAAGTGCAGACTTTGCAAGCAGCATTGAAGAGGTAAAGCTGGGTCAAACACATCAGGTCTTTGGCTTTGTTCCTTCTTGTGGAGAGTGGAGAGTGGAGGGGGCAGAGCCAGGACAGCAGCTCTGTACATCCTGGGTGCAGCACTGCCTGGACAGAGGCATGGCCATGTGGCTTTTGTTTTAGGGACAGGAGTTAGACAGACACTCCAGAAGCCACGGAAGGTGGCCCCTTACTTTACGGACTTAGGCATATTGATAATGCTCACCCCAGGAGTGGAAGATAACCGTAGAGGCTTTCTCTTTCTTCAGATTCTTACCAAGGTTTCCAAAACACCACGCTGTTCCTCCCTCTCTGACCTTTCTGTCACTGGCTCATCTGTTGCATGTGCTGTAAAAGCCAAAACACCCCAAGGTGCCCCTTCAGGCTGATGCCTCTTTTTGCAAGTTTTTCTACCCTTGATTTCTCAATCGTTCCTATGCTTTCTGAAAGCTCAATGGGGCTGTCTTTGATGAAGTCTTAGGGGGCACAATTTATTTTGGATAGTTTTGAAAGGAGTGCAATTATGCATCAAATTAGTGTAAATATGCAAGAATTCATCAATTGGGAAGACTGAATAGTGATGGTGGCCACATACATACATGTTAGACATTACATTGTCAGTTCCTATAGAAAGAGCAGTGCTCATTTTATAGGTTCCTGATATTGCTACATTCTTTCATTGTTTGTGACCTTTAATTTAATGGCAAGTCTCCTAGTCCAGTAGCCGAGGGTCTAGTCCTTTGAGAGGCTCAAGGTGCAGTGATATGTAATGATAACTCATGAGAAAATGTAGGAAGAATGATGGCATTAGAAAATTACCATTGGTCCCCGCCACAGTAATAACTGTTTTGGGCAAGGTGCAGCAATAAAAGCTAAAATTAGTGAGCAAAAGTATGATGAGAAACAGGATATTTAGGCAATATCATATATCAAAATATTTCCTAATAAAATACTTATTAAAAAGGTTAAGTTAGTAATTTTACAATGGAGAAACCTGGCAGATACCACCTTACCCAAGTGATCAAAAGGGATATCACTATTAACGGGATAAATAGGCAACGTGTATCTCTTGGCATGAAGCACTGAGAAGGCCACTACATGACTTTTGGGATATTCCTGACAAAAATGCATAAGCTAAACCCAGTTATGAGGAAACACCAGATAATCCCACACTGAGGAACATTCTACAAAACAACTAGCCTGTGCTCTTAAAAATGTCAAGGTCTTTAAAAAACAAAAATGAACCTTTTCAAATTAAAAGGTATTAAAGAAACATGATAACTAAACACAATATAAAATTCCAAATTTAATTCTGGGCCAGAAAAAAGAAA